GGAAGGCAGGAACAAAGGAAAGTCACCCAGAGAGTTTTAGGTGATGTTTCAGAGAAAAGCCTAGCACCGGAATGTGGGGTGGGGTCTGCTGGCACAAGGTCAGGACAGGGCGCTTTGTTTGTGTGAGCCTTAAACCCCCTTCTGGGAATAGCTCAGACGGTAAAGAATTTGCCTGCAATGCAGGAGACCTGGGTTCAATCCCTGGGTTGGGGAGATCCCCTGGAGGAGGGCATGGCAACCCACTCCAGTAGTCCTTCCTGGATAGTCCCATGGACAGAGGAGCCTGGCGGGCTACAGTCCATGGGGTTGCAAAGAGTCAGACATGACTGAGTGACTAAGCACAACTGGGAATAGGATTCCCTCTTCTAGAGACCTACTCCCCCTCCCCCTCCCCTGAGGTTCTCAGGGGGGCTGCCAATCACAGTGCCCCACCCCCTGCCTGGGGCCAATCAGAGTCCTTCCTGGGGGTTTTCTGATTGGAATTCAAGAGAAAGTTTCTTTCCCTCTGGGGGCAGAGTTGAGCCCTGTGAGCTGGGAGAAGGAAGCCTAGGGGCCCAGGGGAGTGAGGACGTTTGCCTGAAAGAATGGCATTGACACAGAGAGCAGCTGAAGGCATGGCAGATCTGGCCACACCCTGACCCTGGCTCTCATCGCCCAAGACTAACCACCCGCCCCCTGCCCCCAAGCTGCAGTTTCAACCAAAGTCCCCGTCTGCCTGAACTGGCTGGCACCAGGGCTCTTCTCCCTCCAGCCGCAAGCTCCAATACAGCCGCTTACAAGCCATGGGAGTTTGGCCCCTCTCTGAGCCTTGATTTCCTCATCTGTGAAATGGGAGAATCACAGTACCTACCTTGAAGACTCAAGTGAGGTGGTACTTGAATGAATGCTTTGCGCCCAGAAGTGCTGGCGGTGCTGGAGGGGTGGGAAGCCCAGCTGATGAGCCATCACCTGGGGGGAGGTGGTCCACTCTCTCCTCTGACTGGGCCCACAGGTGGCAGGATTCAGAGGAGCCTGGGGGAGCCTGTACCACCAGGACCCCCAGCCCTCCAGCTGCTCCAGGAAGTCATTATCTGTGACAGCCACCCCCACCCCAGTAGCCAGTCCCTTCTTCCTTCTCCCCCACTCAGTCTCCTGCCACACCTAACCACTCCCTCTGACATGTCCACCCCAGAGATGGTCAGCTCCCCAAGGGGCTGCGCCCGTGTCTCCGAGTCCCTGGGGAAGGGCCCAGAGGCGCCCCTGCTGTTAATGACCGGAAGATGCACCTGTGGCCTCTGCTCCCGTGGCTGCTTAACCACAGAAGAGCCGGAGCAACATGTCTCCACACTGATCCTATCCGGTCACTTCTAGATCCCTGGGAACTGAGCAGCGTCCACTCACTCAGGCCTGTAAAGACTATGCCCTAGAAACTGCCCTCTGGCACCAAGCCAGCCTGGCCCCTCCTCCCCACATCCACCTGAGCCCTGGAACCTGAGGCTCCCCCAGCACCCAGCTCCCTGACTGGTTTCCTGCAACCATGAAGGTTGGGTCCCCGCAAGTTGAGCTCAAGCCTCCAGTCCTACTAGGAGAGTGTTGATAAAGATGCAGTCCCGGCCCTGCCTCTGACTGTGGCCTTGAGCAAGTCATTTTCCATCTCTGGTTTCATTTTCTTATCTGCAAAACGGGCTGCCTAAAACGTTCCTGCAAAGCTGTAGTGAGGGGTCCAGGCCGAGGGCATGGAGCTCCTAACATGGAGCACAGCAGGAAACCAAGTTTCTCAGACAACAGCTAATACTTAAACAGCTAATGTGCCAGGCACTTGCACATATACTAGCTCTTTATATCTGTTAAATTGTTTTATCCTCATAACAACCCTATGAGGTAGGTACTGTCACCATCCCCATTTCACAGATGAGGAAACTGAGGTCACTAAGCTCTGCCTGGCCTCTGGGTCTCAGTGAAAGGCAGCCATGACCATCACAGCCACTGAGGAAGTCTAGCTTCAAGGAGCCCCACCCTACATTCACAATCTGGTTACCCTATACCCCAACAGGGGAAGGGATGGGTCCAGGGTCACCCAGAGAGTCCGGGGCAAAGAGGGTCAGAGCCCAGGCCACCCCCCTCCCAGCTGGACCCCATCACAATGTGTCAAGACCAAGACAGGTGAATCACAGAGACAGAGGAACAAAGCTGGGGGTCCCAAGGCTGGGCCTTCTCCTGGGGAAGCAAACAGCTCAGCAGCAAAATCCACAGAGTGAAGTTTATTCCCAACAAAGTTCCCCTCCCCCCTCCCCAGCCCGGGACAGGGACAGACAGGCTGGGGGTGAAGATGGGGCTCCAGGAGCTGAGGGGCCTCTGAGAAACAGGGAAAGACCCCGGCCCCCCGGCCACACCATGTCTGGCTTCCCCAGCCTGGCCGAGTCCACTGTGCCTCCCTGCCCAGCCCTCGGGAGAGGGGAGGGGGCGCTGGCTCCTGGGTAGTTCCAAAGTGGAGTGTGAAAATAGAGAGATATATAATATTTATACGTAGTGGGCAGTCCGGCGTGGCACTCACACCTCCGTCTGGAAGTCGCCATCCGGTGGTTCTGTGGGTTCCCAGGCTGCTGCCCGGTGCAGGGCCAGCCGCTCTCGGGGCTTGGGGGGCAGCGAGCCCAGCGTCATAGACTTGAAGGTGCTCCAGCTCTGATGTCGCCGCTGTTGGGACAAGCCAGGACGCTCCCCTGGACTGGGCTTCTCCTGTGGGCGGAGCAAAAAGGGCCCGCAGAGATGGGCCAACACCCTCTCACCCATTGTACAGAAGAACCAACTGAGGAGGCCTAGGGAGGGCTGGTGATGTCCCACGTTACCACCAATCAAAGTGAGGTTCAAACCCAGACCCACCGGCTCCAGAGCTGGGTTCCTGACCCCTGTGCTCAGAGTGGCCCCCTGAGACCATGTCTCCTGTCTGCCCACCTTCTCAAGATCCTGGGGGAGCCCCCACCGATACCCGCCACCTCCAGAAAAACCCCAGACTGTTGCTTATGCCGCAGGCAGGCCCTTGGTGAGGCGGGCTGAGGCTGAGGCCGCCGCACCCGTACCCAGTCCGGGGTACTTATGCAGGACACGCTCCGTTCTGCTGCCCCACCCGGGGACACACACACACACACCCCACCCCCCACTTCTCCCTCTGCCACAGGGGACCACGGCTCAGGGTCTGACTGCAGGGGCCACTGTGCCCGGTCGGGCCCCCGGCTCTGGGCCAGGGCAGCCACAGGGGGAGCGCTCACCTTGGCCGTGGACTGGCTGCGGTAGCGGTCGAAAGTGTGGAACTTCTGGTTGAGCTCGTGGTAGAGTTCCGAGTGTCGTTTCCGGGTGTGCATCACCTTCTGGGAGCCACAGGGCGTCAGGGGAGGTGCTCCCCACGGGGCACTCAGCACCTGGGTCCCCACATCCCTGCCTGCTGCTGGCTCCTCTGGGACAAGGCCTGGTTTGGTCTTCACCCCAGAGCTCTGGCCTTGGGCAGCAGAGGGACTGTCATGGGCTCAGGCTGTGCACTGGCGCTTGGGTGAATTTTAGGAGGGGACCCTCCACGGCCAGACACCACCCCCAACACACACACACACAACTCAACACACACGTGCACTGCAGCACTTACCTCAAAGTCCAGGTCTGAATACCGTAACTTCTTTCGCTGAGAAGAACCAGGAGGCAGTGAAGGAGAAGAGAACTTTTTAACCAAGTGCAGGGGCTTTAGAGAAACAGGAAGTCTGCTCCCCCGGGGTCTGGCCCCCTGCCTAGGCCCGGCAATTAGGAATCCTTTAAAGGGCAGCCCTTGAGGCTGTGGAAATAGGGTGGAGGCCTGAGAGATGAGGCGCTGAAGTGCGATCCCACCCCAAGAGGTACACGCAGGCAGGCACACATGTAGACGTGCACGTACACAGCGGCCAGATGCCACAGTGCAGACTTCCAACAAGTCAGGTCCCCACCGCGGACCGCAGGGCAGACCCTCTGTGCCCTCGAGGCAACCTCCGTCCTGGCCCATCTCGCCCCATCCTCTCTGACACCGACAGGCTCCCCTCTCCCTGGAAACCTCCACCCCGCTGCAGATACAGGACTCAGTATCACAGAAGCCTTCCTTTGCTTGCACTTGGCCCCTCTGCCAGCCAAACACGGCCCCGCCTCCCCGGCCGCCCTCCCTCATGCCTCTCCCAGCTCTCTCTTGCCCAAGACCACCTTCAAGGCCCCTGTGGCTTATGCTGCGTCCAGTGCCACTCAGGAAGTCCTCAGCATCCCAGAATGTCAGCCCGGGAGCACTCATGAGACGAAGACCAACCTTCCCAGGTTATACCAGGGAGACTGAGGTCCAGGGAGAGGGGACTTGCCCACAGTCCTCAAGGATGTGGCTAAAACCACCATCTGGATTTCCCCAGTCCCAGGCCGGCACACACACTCACCACCACAGGGGTTGGTGACAGCCTCTCCTGGTCCTTCCACCTCCCTGCCTGCTCTTTCTCGGCCACCCACCCTGACTTCTCCAACTCCAGGCCCCCACACTCTGCCCGGGACTCTCCCCGGCCCTTCACCGTGCACACGCGTGTCCTCTCCACTTCTGGTCACACTGCACTTTCAGAGGCCGCGGGACTCCTACTCCTTGCTCCCTGATGTCCACAGGCACCGCACACACAGCTGTGCCCGACGGAATAACCTCTAACTTCCCCCGCCCCAAACGCACTCCTCCGCCCCCGCCCCATCGCAGTTGCCCACACCAGAATTCTGGACGTCATTCTTGACCCCTCAAGACTCTGCCACATTTATTGCTACCTCCCACACAAGGAGCCCAGCGCTGGCCCCTGCTCAGGGCTCCAAGCACGGGCAGGTGTCCACAGAACAAAACCTGCCATGATGCTGAGCGCTCCCCTCCCCGCTGCCCGTGTCGAGAGTTTTCTGTCTTTGTGACGCCTTCCTGTTTCTGCCATCTGCGGCAGGAGCAGGCACCAAATGTTCAAGAAACATTTTGGGAGGAAAAAACTAAACTTGTGAACCTTCTAGCTGCTAACTTAGTTTTCTCCGTAGGGAGGATGGGGAGCCAGTTTCTGGGGCCCAAACATGAGCAGCCAATGGTGCCCAAGCGGTGACTCCTGCCCCTTCCCTCATCCACACCTTCCTCACCCCGCCAATGAAAGTTCTAGAATGTTCTAGAGTTCTACAGTGGGTCACTACCAACTGCTTGTTGCCAGTGATTCCCTGCAGGGAGGGGGCCTGAGGGAGCCAGATAGAAGGCGGGGCAGCCACAGAAAACACACAGTCAGGGAAAGAGAGGGGCTTCTGTTCTCTCTGGGGCGGGGAGAGCGAGGCAATTACCACAGGCCTGTGGGCAGTGCCTGAGGCTGATCTCAGGAACGGTAACAGTAGCACTCCTCAATTATCTAGCACTTTCCACCTGCTCCACAGAGATAAGTGTTTTATATCCGTTGATTAGTCCTACCAAGAGTCCTACAACTCTACCAAGAGGCTGCTACGTTATCCCCACTTTACCAATGAGGAGACTGAGGCTCAGAGAGATCACGTGAGTCTTGGGGAGGGGAGACTGTGCACCAGATCTCGTTGCTGATCCAGCAGCGCTCAGATCTGAACTCAGGGACTTGGAAGCCCGGGTTCTCAGCTCCTAGATATGGCTTCCCTAGCAATAAGGCACCAGGCCTGAGCCACGGGCCCCTTAGATGAGGGCCCACTCTGACCAGTTCACCCCAAAACAGGCACTCAAGCAAATGTGAGCACCTTCGAGAAGGGCACCCTCAGCATGTGGAGACCAAGCTCATCTGAGGAGCTCAGAGGAGCCAGGATTCCCTTGGAGCCGCCACAGGCATCAACGGAGGAGAAACCCACAGCACATATGCTTCCTGGGACTTTGTGTGGGGAGGCTGCTGGCTGTCCTTTCCCGGCGGCTGCCAAACAGTCACGGGCGCCCTGGGGCAGGCCTCCGACCCCCAACCCCAGGCCCGGCAGCTCCTCACCTCCAGGGAGCCCAGCTTCATGGTGGAGCCGGGTACAGTTCGGGGCATGGTCCGGCTGCGCTCCCCCGGCTCCGGCACCTGGCGGGCGCTGGGTGTTGGTGGCGGCGGTTGGAAGGTCATCCCGTAGGGGTTCTGTAGAGACCCATAGGCAGGGCCCAGCCCCAGGCCCGAGTGTTCCACAGAGAGGAAGCTGGGGTAGGCTTCGGTGTGGCCCAGGGACTTGGAGGCCCGCCGGGGCGTGCCCTCAGGCCGGGCCCGCGGGGGATCCTCGGCACCTCCACCCCCGCCGCCAGGCTGCAGGCTCAGAGTCCTCCGGGGCAGCACCATGTAGTCCCCCTCGGAGCCCGGCTCGGTCGGCCGCAGCCACGTGAGGTCCAGCTGCCGCAGGCCACCCTCACCACACATGTACACGGGGTTGGCCTCCTGGGGGGGCGGTGGCTCCCCCAGCCCTGGCGAGGCTGCCATGGGCACCAGGATGTTGCCAGGCAGTGGTGAGAAGCTGAGGCTGCCCTCAGGGCCCACGAGGCAGGACTTGGGCTCCTCGTCCTCGTCCAGAGACAAGCGGGACAGCGTGCCCGTGATGGTGGATGGGTTGCAAGTGTTGACCTCCTTGAACAGCACTGGGGGCAGGAGCGGAGGGAAGTCAGTTGGGGGAGCAGGAGCCCCCAGATGTCCCCTTGCCCAGGCTGGGCAGGTACCAAGGCCCTGAGCTTGGATGGTGGGGGCAACTGAGTCCCGGAGTGACGGCTGGGTGGTTAACACAGGGGTTAAGATGGTGACCATCCCCAAGGCCCAAAGCCAGGCAGAGCAAGGAACAAAGCCAAGGTCCCCACTCCCACGGTGTCCAGGTGCAGGTCTTGACCTCTGACCCCACAGCCCCAAGGCTGTCAAAAAGGCCTTGTCCCTCCCTGCTCCCTGGGCAGTTCTGCCCTAGGTGACAGAACTTGGAAATTCTGATAAGAATCATGGAAATGACAATAATATAACAGCCACTTTGTGCTGAGCACCCTGCTAGGCATTTGGGGTCCCCTAATTGAAGGACTGATGCTGAAGCTGAAACTCCAATACTTTGTCCACCTCACGCGAAGAGTTGACTCATTGGAAAAGACCCTGATGCTGGGAGGGATTGGGGGCAGGAGGAGAAGGGGATGACAGATGATGAGATGGCTGGATGGCATCACCGACTTGATGGACATGAGTTTGAGTAAACTCTGGGAGTTAGTGATGGACAGGGAAGCCTGGCATGCTGTGATTCATGGGGTCGTAGAGTTGGATACGACTAAGCAACTGAACTGAACTGAATTGATTTAAGGCTCCTATCCACTCTAGAACAGATTTCTCTCCTTTATAGGTGAGACTTCAGGAGTAAGCTGTCCACCCAAAGTCATACAGTGAGTGATATTCACAGCCTTGACTCCAGCTCAGGGCTGCCTGACCCCACAGCCAGAATCCATCAGAGCATCCCATGGGAGGGCTCGGGGGCCCCCTGTTCATCCCCATCTCTGGGGCCATTCTCAGCACTGCCATGGCACACTCACCTGTCTGACAAGCCAGATCCACATCTTTTTCAAAGTCTGACTATAGGCAGAGAGGGAGAGAGCAGACAGGCAGAGAGAGGATCCATGTATCAGGGTGGGAGGGAACTTAGGCCCCTCCCCACCCAGCCAGAGGGTCTGCCCACGGCACACTGCCCAGCAGAGCAGAGGGGCCCCCGGTGTGGTCTTCTCCAGCCCCACCAGAGACGGAGAGATGTCTGAAGCGGGGACTTGCCCAAGGCCACTCAGCTATCAGCAGCTGAGCCAGAATCAAACCTGATCTCAGTCCCCAGAAAGATGGGGACAGAGAAGAGGGAAGGGGGAAGGTGAGGGGTCTAGGGCAGGGGGCACTCAGAACCCACCTGCGTCCTGCCCAGGCCTCCTCACTCACCAGGATCTGCAGCTGCCCGTTCTTACACGAGTCGGGGGAGTCTTCACTCTCATCGGCCCGGCACACGCCCATCTGGCACTTCACCACGTCCTGGACCTGGGGACAGCAGGTGCCTGCTGGGCCTGAGGCCACCACAGGGCACCTTGGCTACGGCGAGCTGTGCCTTCCACCCCAGGCACCCAGGTGGGCATGAAAGGAAAGCAGTGTATCCAACCTAGGGGGGTGGGTAGAAGGAGCCCCAGGGGGGCCACGGCTGCCCAGGTTATCAGCTTCCACACCAAGAGCTGCCCAGATGGGGGCCTGCTCAGGGCCTCAATCCTCCCCAGCTGTGCCCATCTGCACCATGGGGAGTGGCAAGGGACCGGCGTGGGGTTGCGGGCAGGGGTAGCCAGGGCCCCGGAGAAGCCAGCCCACCTCTCGGCGCAGGAAGCAGTGGACGGCCGTGATGACAAAGCCCTGCGCAGAGTTGAAGACCGCGAACAGGGCCTGGAAGAGGACGGAGCGACGGTCTGTCATGGCCAGGACGGCGGACATCCAGGTGAGCGCCAGCAGGGGCAGCACCACGCAGGAGCTCCAGAGCGAGGCCCTGAGGATGAGGCAGACAGTCCGTTGTGGGGGACCCTCCTGGGGGCCAGGCTGGACTGAGCCTGGGCCTGCACTCAGCCTGGGGCCCTTGAGCTGCCCGAGACTGGCAGGGCCCCCAACGGTACGATCCCAGTAACATCCCCAGGCAGAGAGAGGCTGAGCAGCTGGGGGCAGAGAAACAACAAAGACAAAGAGCAGAAAACTGGGGGACCAGGGGGGAGGAAGGGACGGACACACCGACACAGGGGACGGAGCCAGAGGCAGCATCGGGGGCAGGGACAGAGAAGCTAGAGAGAACCAGTGGGACAGAAGAGAAGGAGGGAGACAGATACAGATGCTGTGAGTTTCAGCCCCAATTTGCACAAAATCACAGGCCTTGGGCCGCATCCCCAGAGACTCTGGGAGGGGAGGAGGGGAAGAGGGACAAAGCGAGACGACAGACACGTGAGAGCGGGGATGAGACGGGCAGAAACACACTGGAAGATTAAACGGGCAGAGAGGACGGAGGACATCACAGAGCACAAATATTCGGGGGAGATGAGGGGGCCGGGGCGGCAGAAGCTCCTCTGCCTCAGTTTCCCAAGGAGGAGGTGCCAGGCTCTAGGGCACCTGCTCAGAGCTGGGCAGAAAGACCATAGCTGGCAGGGGTGGAGGAGGTGGGGTGGGGGAGGG